GACAGCAACTTGTCTGTTCCCCTTCCCCGATTCCCTAATGCTGTTCCTCTCCCCCAATTCCCCAATAAAATATTTTAAGAAAAAAAATTGGATTGTTTGTCTTTTAATTGAGTTGCAAGAGTTGTTAATACATTGTAGATTATCAGATATATGATTTGCAAATACTTTCTCCTGTTTTGTGGGTTTACTTACCTTTTTGGGTGCATTGTTTGTACATTATTTGGGTGAAAGTTTGAACCATGTTAAGTAGCTAATACAGATCTCTGAGGCATCCTGCATTAGTTATTGATAGAGGAAGTAACCTGAACCTCTTTAGAAAGTCCAGTCAAACCATGATAAATTAACAAACTATAAATCTTCATATATTTGGAGTATTTAATGTTATTTTCTTGTGTAATAAGTAAGAAATCCTGTAATTGTCACTAATTGGTATCATTAGGGCTCCAGGAGCTCAGAAGCCCAGGGTCTTTCCTTTGGGACAGATAGCTTGTGTATCAAAGCCCCATCTGAGAGTTGGCTTGTTGAATGAGAGCCTTCGCTGAATGAGGCACCTAGTGGACAGGGATCTTAGGAATGTTCAAATTCCATGGTAACTCGAGCTTTACACCCATAGTGCCGTTGCACAATTTTAGAAGCTTGGGGGTGCATGAAAGTCCTCTGAAAATAAAAGTAAACTTTTTGGAATGGAAACTTGTATCATTATGTGTTGTGACAACTCTTCTCTCCCTTATCCCCAAATGCTATATGGTATATGTCTTTTAAATAAATGTGAATTGAAATTAATTTAGTTTTGTATGTCATGATGCCTCTGAAGATTATTGGAGCTAATTAGAGATAACACGAAATTCTAACTGAATATTATCATCTTGTTGAATATTCTGAAATGTATTTCTAGGAGTTGTGTTTCAATGGCATGTCCGGCCTTGGTGGTGAGTCAAGTCTCCCATGCCAGGCTGTTCTTTCCATCAACCAGCTACCTTGTAGTTTACAGGAATCATTTTACATTAGCAGGTGATAATATGATAATGCTTTGCATGTGTGTGTGACCTCAGGCAAATCACTTCCTTCTGCCATTTGCCCATCTGTATGGTGGGAAGAATGCTTTGAGGTGTTGGATTAAAGATGAGGCAGACGAGTCCTGACTTGGAGCGATCTGGAGTTGAGAACTCGCTGTCTGACTTCAGGCCAGTGCTTACCTTCGTGGGTTTCTCCAGGAGTTAACGTGTGCCCTGCCACATCACTGAGGTGATGGGAGGACCAAATGAAGCAATAATATATGTGAGAGTACCTTGAAACTGCACTTGTTTCCACAAATGTGTAAGATTGTAGGGGGTACTGTTAGGGTGGGGGTTCTGCCACCCTGTAGCCGATTGCCCGCATCGGAATGTGGAGTAAGAGAACCAGGCGGCCTGGGAGAAGGAATGCGGGAACGTTGCACTTGGGGCTTTTGCAAGGTCTCCACACTGAGGATGTAGGTGGCCCTGATTTTCTCTGTGCAGTCCTGTTTACTAAGCTTTCTTCTCACATGTAACTTCCATCAGATGATCTCTGTGGTCTCAGGAGGTCTGTGAATCCTGTGTCCTTAACTTGCTGACATTTCAGAACTACAGGGGCTTGTCAGCATTCAGCATGGTAGATCCATCTAATCCTTATGGAGTTTCTTCTTGGCTATTTCCCTGGGGACACATTCTCTGTCCAAGACCTCATATTAAACATACATACATACCTCAGGTTCAGGATATAGGAGGGTACATGAGGTGAAGTGAATGAAATGAATTCCTGTGGAGAGCCGTTTCCTTCCAACATACTCTACACTTTCTTCAGAGGTGATCTTTCTCCAAAGGAGAAATAAAAACCCTCTTTAGGATAGATAACTGGGAATGTAGCTCACACCCAGGCCATAAGCTATGTGTGAGATTGGGATTTTACTGTGCTTGGCTGTTATAGCAGAAGTCACATCGTGGGTCCTGAAATACAGCTGGAACCACTTAGTGCTCTGCTCTGTGAGAGCCCCTTCTGTAAAGGTGCGTGTGTCTTATAGTGGTGATGGAAGCTGGTGTTTCCACAGACCAAAGTGAATTCACCAGTCACCTGTGAGGAGGCCCTGAACTGCCACCGCAGAGAGCCACATTTCAGACATGGGCTCAGAAGCAGTGACAGCGAGCTGCTGGCTGTCCCACGCCTCACACCTGCCTTTGGCTCCCCACCCTTTGCCTGTTGGTGTACTTGGTTTCTGCATGCATGTGATTAACCCTTTGGTGTTCACACTGCCTTGATTACAGTGAAGGCGCTCATGGGTGGTGCTGAGGATGTGTGTCCTTTCAGCAGAGTTCACTTTGGCACTCCAGAGCCCAGCGGGACACTCAGATCAGAATTTGCAACGGCTGAACAGCAGTCTTGGAGCGTCTTATGTTAGACTTTCCTAGGCGTACTTACTTTTGCCAGGAGGGGTCGCCGCTTGGGTACCTCTTGGCCACCTCTGTCCAGGCTATAACCATCAACCATCCTTTCTTCTTTCCATTTTCTTTGGTACCTTTTTCTTACCATCCTCTTCAGTGTGGCAAGCACATCAAAGATGCTGTAATGAGAGGGGTTCTTAGGTAGAAATTATTCAATTCAAGAACTATTGATTCACTGTTTTATTTTGTGGCAAGATGCTCTGTTAGATTCTGCTGAATACAAACATGCTAAGACATAGTTCTTGCCTGTAGGGAGTTTATGTTCCTAGAATAAAAGAAAAGCTATACAAATAGCTTTACACTAACACTTATTAGTTCTGAGACCTTGGGAAAGTCATTGAACTTCAACTTCCTCGTCTCTAAAGAGGGTTATGAGAGTTCATCTTGGAGGGTTATTGTGAGGTTATTTAAAGATGAAATTAAAATATTTTTCTTTTCGATTTGTTTGTATCATCTTTTCAAATGGCTACTAAGTTGTTGGGACATAAATATTTATTAAGTAGTTTGGACTTAACTACTTGCTAAATGGAGCTATTAGGTTTTGTTTGTTTGTTAGGAACGCCATGAAAAAATTACTGAGATGCTAATAAGCTTGACATGAACCAAGAGTTCTTTGATTCTAAAATGCCTTTGGTTTTATGCTATACTTTTATTTTCTATATGTCAAAGAAAGAAAAACACCGCCAATTACTTATGCCTTTAAGATAGTCCCATGAAACATATAAATTTATGTTATAAAACCTTTCTTGCTTTGTCATTTCTTGCATCTGTTCTGAGGGATTTGTCCATTTCTCTTGCCTCCAGTTGCAGTTGTTTGGCCTGTGACAAGTGTATCTTCACAAGAAGTAACCCAACTTCATTTCCTTTTGAGTATTTTCCTTTTTTATGTCCCATGCTTTTGGTAATCGCTTTGCAATGAAAGATGGAATTTTGGTCATTCCTCTGATGACATTTTATTTACTAATATAAAATTTATATTCTGCCCTATTTCCCTGCCTTTCTGTGTACCAATAACTTTGTGTTTCAATGCTGAGTCATGGTGTCATCTTCTTGAAGTCATTTTAAATGGCAGTTAAACTTGGTGTATGTGGTACCAACAATGTACATTATTCAACTGAGGTGACAACAGAATGAACAACTGTGACCAAATTCTGTCATTCAGAGGCATTATGTCTGGACTGCATCATTGCAGCATTGGAATTTGCATTCAGATTTCAGAATTGTTGAACTGTTATAAAATGTATGCTTGAGTGTCAACTTCAGTGGACTGATGGTGCTTCCTAGGATTGTATACTTTGTTAAGAAGGATTTTGAGACTAAGAGTTTAGCAGGAAAGAGTGCTGTGATCCATTATCGTGTCTTTTAATTGATGTCGGGTAAGGTAAGAGGGAGCAGGGGCTTGCGTGTCAGGATTTGCCCTCCCAGGATGAAAGTACGAAAAACGTTTGGAAGGCCACGATAATAGGGGTCAGGGTGGCACAGTGAGACCCCAAAGAGTGGCCCAGATGTAAGAGATAGCACAGAGGTGGATTTCATAAGACTTGTCATCTACGTAGGTGTGGGCAGGTGGCTGCTGCTTTAAGTCTGGCTGACTGGAGCATGTTTGTGGCACTCATGTGAGTAACGAAGTTAGGAGCTGCATCGAAGGGGGAGTGGATGGATGCATCCTTGGACATATTAAATTGGAGGTGGCTAGTCGAGCCAGGAGGTTGTAAAGATGGCATTGGAACATTTTTCAAGAAGTTTGGAGGGGCTGGCTCAGTTGGTTAAGAGTGCGAGCTCTGAGCAACAGGGTCGCCGGTTCGATTCCCACATGGGCCAGTGAGCTGCACCTGAGCTGGGCTCCCGCTGAGCTGCCAACAGGTGGCAGGATGGCTCAGCTGGTGAGAGCACATGCTCCTAACAACAAGGTTGCTGGTTTGACTCCTGCATGGGATAGTGGGCTATGCCCACCCACAACTAAGATTGAACATGGCACCTTGAGCTGAGCGGCCCCGAGCTGCTGACCAGCAGCTGGATGGCGACTGGACTTGGAGCTGAGCTAGCTGTGCCCTCTTCAACTAAAACTGAAGGACAACAACTTGGCTGTTCACCTTCCCCAATTCCCCAACACTGTTCCCCTCCCACCCACCCACCCAAAAAAAAAGTTTGGCAGTGAAGGATAGAAATTGATCAGTAATTTGAGGAGGGTAGCAGAGTTAAGGAAAACTTGAAGGTGGGTGGAAAGGGGCATAAGATGCTTGAGAGAGGAGTGTGATTCGTGAGCAGGGTCCCAGAGGCCTCGGGAGGGGAGAGGATGGAGAGCAGAGGGAAAGGGTCTCCCCTGTAACTATTCACATTGAGTGGGCAGATCACAGATAACCAGCTCCTTGCTGTTCATTCAGCCTGTTGCAGTGTAAGGTATTCAGTAGCCCTTTCTGTTTCCTTCCTTTTCATCCCAACCCCAAGGTTATCTGATTTTTCCTCCCCTTCTTCCTGCTGTTGTCTATGCTTTCTTATTGGACTCTCCTTACTTTTCCTTTGTCCTCTGCCTGGCTTTCTTCCCCCAGTCCCATGGTCCCTGAGGACACAGGTTTCTTTTACTCTGAGGTAGAGGCAAATCTCATCATGGCCTCCTGATCCCTATCTCAGCCTTTCTTGGTGCCTAGAGAGTTTCTGTGAAACTGGCTCATACTTTCCTAACTTACTTTCTTCTGATGAGGTTTTCCTGGCTTTATCTTTCAAGGCCTTTGTTTTCCTCTGAGGACTTCTTCCTGCTGTCTGTATTATTTCTCTTCTCACTTCTGGTCCTCTGGGCCTCCAGCTTGACCTCTTATCATTATCATCACACCCTTTCGGAAGGTCATGTCCCATTTCAGTTTCATTATCTTCTTAGAATAAATGTTAGTATGTATAAAACACAATTATATTTTGATTACTCCAGTTCCAGCCCAATGACTTATTTTCAATCCGTAGAGCAATTAATTTTAATGGCTGAAAGGTAGGCTGGAAATCATCTAATCCTGCACTTTTCAACATGTGTTCCTCCCTAGAGGTTAATAGGTATTTGGTGAAAAAAAGAATTGTGTGATCAAATAAGTTTGAGAAATGCTGGTTTCAACCAAATTAAACACTTTAAAACAACAACAACAACAACCCACAGAACTTTAATATGTTTCATATGCAATGTAAATCCCTCAGGAGAGGAAGTGTTTCCCATACTTATTGACTATGGAACCCTCTTCGTAGATGAGCACTCTCAAGTGCTGAGAATCCACATCACAAGTTATTCATCTTAAATGAACTCTGACGGCTGCACCCTGGCTTTAACGGCCTGTTGTGACAGTGCCACTTTGTGTGATGTTATGACCCTTTGACAGTGCATTCAGCAATAGTTTTAGCTCTGCTGTGAACTGACGCTGAGGGAAAGCTGTTTTGAACCTTCCCAACTGAAAATGAGAAGTAGCTAAAACTCTGGTGAGCCCATGGTCAGTGTAAGCCCCTTTGTGAGGGGTACACCAGCAGCACTGTGTATGTAGCCCTCGCCCCTGAGTGTGAAGCTCCAAGCCCTTCCTGCCCAAAGCACCCTGCCCCTGGGCCTTGGCATATGCTCGTCTACTGTTTGCAGTGTCCCTTTGCACCTTAGGAGCCTGTGGGCCAACCACATTACTGCCCTCTCTTTCCGCCTCCCTGACCTCCCTGGGTAAGGTTGCTCTCTTCTCAAAGCTCTCAAAGACACTTGTACACTAAAATTCTAACATAAAACCTAGTACGTTCTAACATAAAACCTAGTACACTAAAATTCTAACATAAAACCTAGTACGTTCCTTTAACAAGACACTTGTACACTAAAATTCTAACATAAAATCTAGTACGTTCCTTTAACCTAGTATTTGGTTTTGGTTTGTCCCCTCCCCGACACAGACCCTTGAGGGGAGAGACTCTCCCCTTCCCATCATTACTGCATCCGCAGCACACACTGCTTGACCCAGAGCTGGTCTTGGCGAATTAGGTTAAATCCTTCTCTGGTGAAACGAATTGGTCAGAGGAAGCTGTGGGAAAGCCTCCGGTGTGGGAAGGCCATGGAAGCCTTTCCTAGAGAAGCACTCAGAGGAAACCACCGGACTGACAAGCAGGGGAGGGAAAAAGTCTTCCAGGTGCAGGTAGAATGGAAAAGGAAGACAGTAGAGACATGACGGGGAAAAGGAACAAAGAAGGCAGAAGAAATTATCATCCTGGGCAGAGTGGGAAGTGAGGAAGGCAGAGGAGTGAAGAAAAGCTGTGATCTGGCAGAAGAAGGGGTGGAAGACTTTGAAGGGGAGGGGGAAAGGGAGGGAGGGAGAAAGGGAGGGAGGGAGAGGAGGGAGGCCTTGCTGGCTGGGGGAGGCTCGGTGCCCATATGGTCTCCAGGTGCCGGGTGGTTCTCTGGCCAATCCCTCACCCAGATGTTCGCTCAGTGCCCAGGCGAGGCTCTGGCTGGCTCTCAAACATTTAAATAACGGAAACCATCTCAGAGGAGGCTGTATTTTTAGCCACGGACTCTGGCTGTGGTAGGCGATGATTCTAATCGTCCGGATAGTTACTGGAGTGGCAGAGAGGCTGCGAAGGCTGCGGAGAATGGAATTCTGATTCCGACTTCCGTCCTGACAGGCTGTGAGATGCTCCTTGTAGATCACACGGTGCTGTTTGTACCTAGGAAGGATAGTAAAAACCTATACAAGGGGTTGAACTTTGAAAAACGAATATAAGACCTGTTCCAGCTAAAAATGGTATGCCAAAGTGCTAATAGTGATTCTCTCTAGGTAATACGGTTTTAAGTGAGATTTCTTCCCATTTCTTGGTCTTATTTTCTAACATTTGTGAAAGTCAACATGTAACAAAGTGAAACCCAAAAGTTACATTTCAAGATGCAAATACGAATTAATTGTAGTAAAAACTTTAAATGTGTAGTGTGTGTTGCAATAGCAGCTGATACCTGGTCTCTCTACTTGAATTTGACATTGACTTACTATTTGACAGTCAGTTACTTAACTTCATACCTTTTCTGTGTATTAAAGGAAAATCTAGAATGCCAGCTATTAAGACCAATATTAATAGTTAATGTCAGTGGTAACATGCCATTTAAATTAAATGACAGATT